TCTCTCTCTCTCTCAATCTTGCTCTTTCTCGTGTCATTCGTGAAAATAGAGCAACCACATGTCGCATCCTTCGTCCGCCGTCGCCGAGAGTCCCTCCGCATGAGCTACATGGATTTTCGCCGGACCTCTCTCTCCTCCCTTTCCGGAGCCCGTGCTCGCTATTTCGGCTCGTTAGGATAACGAGGATCTAATGTCGCGTTCTCGGCCCGGCCAATTACGCGGTTACGGCCGGCGGCACGCATCTTTCGGCGCATCCGTGCGATTCGAGGGCGTCCCTCAAAGGGGCGAGCTTATTAGCCGGAATTTATATTTCACCCGAATTTTTCTATTTTCGGTATTTCCCGATACTCTTGCCGCCTCGGCCGTTACGCTCTCGTCGCCGAACATCTGTTGTCGCCGCGCGTCTCGGACGATTTACCGTCGATCGCGAGAATCGACCGGAGGCGCAAGAACGAGCTCGTCTTTCGTCAAATTTGCGTTTTCAACATATACGGACACGCTTCAAGCCCCGACAATAATAATAATAACTTCTCGATCTCGTTGCGAAAAGCATTCTCTTTGCGTAGATTGACAAATCTTTTCATTGGGAAAATCGCAAAATTTCGCCATAATACGCGTTTGAAGGGAAGGAAATTTTTGCGCGGACGTGCTTTCTGCTGACGACGAATTAAATGATTCGCGTCGCGTCGTTAGAACCGCGAGAATGAGGTCGCGAGAACCCGTCGCGATTTATCGACCGCGCGCGAAACGTTTTATCGCACGGCGAGCGGGGGGAATTTCTTGCGGCGTCTCGCTTAAGCGGTCCCTTAAGGGCGCCGCGAAGAGATGCGGCTCTTGCGAGCGCGAGGTGATCTATTGGCGAGCCATCTGGCCGCGCGTCGTCATAGGGACGACGCATTTACGGACAGCTAAGTGGCCTTTACCCGGCTTTGGTACTCCGAAAGCGCGACGATAAATTTCGGTTCGCGCCGCGCCGAGTCCGCCTTTAATTTGACGGGGCCGGAACCTCGTTACACTCGTTAGCGTAAAGGGACGAAAACGCAACGCAGAAAAGCGCGGCCGATCTCGAGCGGAAAAAAACATTCGGTTGGATTAACCAGGCGTCTGGTGAAATATGAACGTACCAGAAATTCCGACTGAAGTTACCAGAATCCTGTTCAAGTTTCACTTAACTAAACAAGATTTATTCTAATCTTAGACCTTTAACTTAGATCTTTAACTTAGATTTATTCTAATTATTATTGTTAATATTATTATTATTATTGTTAATATTAACTAATCCGGTATCCCAATTAATTGATGACGCGCTTAATTTTGATTTCCTTTTCACAGCATTTAAAGAGAATCAAAAATAAGTGTATAATTAATTAATTGGGGGATGAGATAGGGGAGTAGTTAATATTAATAATATTAATAATAATAGTAGGAGTACAGAGGGTTGATTTAATGTGAAAAGTAGATTCACTGCGCACGTTGCAAGACTGAAAAAACACTCGGCTCGTGTGTTTAGGCCGTCAGACATTATTATCTTACCATTTCAAGTCGAAATTTTGATTCTACTTTTAGCCTCACTATTCTATTCACCTATTCCTTCCAATACTTATTTTGACGCTAAAGAAAATGAAGAGGGAAATTTTGGACATGATCAGAGTCAAAGTAAGAATAAATTGTATCATTAGAATGAAACCTACTTTGCTAATTTAGCTCCTACTGCGTTGTAAAAGTCAAGGTTTAACATAAATTTTGACTCAGGATAGTTTTAATATTTGCATAAGCAACAAGGCTTCCATTGGCCTTCTCCCTTTAAAAAGAAATTGCACTTAATATAATTAATGGCAATTAAAATCAGTCGCGTGTTAGTTTCAAGAAATATTACGCGCAGTTGCAATTGTACAGTCGGGGAACTTTCTGAAAATCTAAATCCCGCGCGTCATATTCTATTCGCGTTGCGTCGAGAATTGCCGTTTAAAACAATCGCCCACTGTGTGTTTCAACGATCCCCGATCGTTTCGCGAAATATTCGCAGGGGTTGGGCGCCCTTGGCCACGGACCGCTCAACGGTTCATCGCGGCGATCGTATTAAAATCCGCGCGCGCGTATATTTCAGGGCGCGCGCAATTAACGGGGCGCGTTGTTTCGCTCGCCGGCCAGTAACCGGGAAGTAGTTCGTCGTTGCGCGAATTCACGAACACGAAACTCAGCTCCGCCGGCACCGCCGCAACGGCTGATATTGTAATAAACGGTGCGCGCGAGGCACCGCAGCCATTAATTCACGTGGATCGCAAGGTGGTCCGCGGGGGCATAAGAAGGTGAAATTTAGTGAGCCACTGGTGGGAACGTACAGACCTCTAATGGCCATTCCGATGACTACGGTTCTCGACCACAAGCGCCCCCTTCTCACCCCTGTTCCCTTGCCCTCTCACTCTCTCTCTTTCTCTCTCACTGTCTGTCTTTCTCACTCTCTCTTCTGTCTCGACAAGCATAGTCTCTCACACTATGTCCCTTCTCTACGTTCTAACTCGTCCTTCGTCCTGCGCTTCAACCTCCATCACTCTTTCTCGCTCTTTCCTATCGGCTCTCGTGTCCTGCCGCGATGCTCTCTCTTTCTCTCACTCTCTCCCTCGTTCTCGTCCACCCGCCGCGCGTATGCAACGGCGTTCCAGCAATTACGCATCGCCGCAGTTAAATACAATGGCCAGGACAACGACTCTGTAATTTATCCCCGGTTTGGCCCACCGTCCGCGCGTTTGTTTCCAACGACGGCGGAGGTCGTCGTCGCCCTTCCGCGTACGCGCGCTCGCTCGCGCGTTCCACCACCCCTTCACAACCCCCGGTCCGGTGTGTTGGCGCGTTTAAATTAATGATAAGTAATATAACGCCACCGTATCCCGGACGTCCTTGGTTAAGCTGTGAAATATGGGTCGACTGATTATCGGCGAATTATATGAAAAAAGGAAACGGAAGGAGCACCGCGGGAAATTTACGAGGTTGCGCGAAGATCGATGCGTAGAAAATCGTCGTTCTGAGACCGTTCCGCGCGCTTGTCGACGCGAACACGTCGGATGTATGCCGCGTGCTAATGCGATCAATGCATCACGGACGGCGATCGGAACACGGTTGATTTCGCGAATGATTTCGCGGCGTGGAACAGGGCGCATAAATATATACCTAACGACAGCGCGACAGACAGTCGTCCTCGGTTAACGTCCATCCTCGCACGCATGGCACATTTAAATTTATGGTGATTAATAATAATATGAGAGTCGCGCTGTGTGTCGCGTTCGATACAAAGGCGAGCGCGTAGGCGCTCCAAGTTCGCGTCGATAAAGGACAGCTTAAATTTACAAGTCTTACGAGCGCGCGTGTATGTACATATACGAGACACACCGTAATTAATAGACGCACGAGTCATTGGGAAATGCCTGGCGGATGAACACGCTTCGACGCTTTCGAAAACTAATCACGCTTTCGTTGAAGTCAAAGTTCGCGGCTTCTTTTTCTCTCGATCTCGCGATGATCGATCGGCCGTCTGAACGAGAATCGAATCGGTGAGTTGCGTGATCGCTTGCGAGCAATGTGCGAGCGACATACCGCGATTATCACGTCTACGCTCGTTCCACCGCGTTCTCGGGATTTGCCTCGTTGATCTCGCACTCTGACTTCGTGTCGCGCGCATGTAAGGAAGAATTCGCAGCTTGGCAGAAACGCAGAAGACCGGGAGGCCAATGAAAACTCGCGCCAGTGGAGAAGCGGAAACTGTCGATCAGTGAGAGTTCTGCCTTTCTGCCGAGATGCGAATTCTACCTAACAATCCAGCGGCCCACGTCTGCGTGCGATATCCTCTGCCTTTTTCGCGGCCGTAATCTCTGCCGCCCCCAGGCACGACTGTCGTCGATAGCCTTATTATATCCTGTACACGCGGCGAGGAGAAACAACGCTCTCGTAAATCCGTTCGCGCGCGCTCGCCGAGCTGGAGCACGGCGTCGTATCGGCTAACAGGTGTGCGCACCCATATCGTTTATCTCGTGTCGATCGTTACAGCGCGGCCCGCGCGTGAACACTCTCTCGAGCTAGTCGCTCTCAGTCGTACTGTCATTGCCCGATTGCCCTTACTAACCACGTGAGTCAGTCCTTTTACTGACAGACGAGTCCGCGGAAGTTTACGCGTTCTCCAAGCTAATGAAATCGGTGGAAACGGTATTCCTTTAATCACGAGAAAGGAAGAAACACGGGACGAAGAGATTATTATTGATTATCCTTATTGCTGAGTCAGTTGAAAGTAAATTCATCGTAGATATACTCATTTTTCGTTATTCACTGTGCATAATCGCGTAATATATTTGTATACAAATAAAATCACAAATAAATTTTCATTATATTTACAAATAAATAAATAAATGTACGCTATAAAGTACGACAAAATCGCGTGATTTCCTAAATTATCGCGCTTGTCTAAATCGACCTGCCGATATCGTCAGAACTTGAAATACTCTCTATTAATGTGAACCATCGCACGCGCTAATGACTCCCGGGAGATAATTTCGGGGAACGAATAGGGGAGAGAACGCGTGTAGGAAGGACGAGCTTTTTTTTATTTCGATTTAATCATGATTAAGCGAATTACATAAATCGTTTATGCAGGAACACTTAGACACATGCACTTCCTATGACAATATACAATAATTCATCTACTAGTTAAACTACTTGCTTTTAATATCATATTAATCAATTGATCGAGATATATCAATATTACTTGAAATAAATTAATCAATTAATCAATATTAATTTATGTAATATCATATTACATAATAATAGAGGACGATAATATACATAAATATGAGATCGCTTCACGTTATGATTAAAAACTGATGTACTTCTACATCTTTTCTAATGATTGATCTACGTTTATATGTTTTTATCTTACATATACACAAACGCATACATATATTTCTATATATATTTACACAGTATATACAAAAACAAAAATAAATAACAAGTAAATCACGAATCCTATATATTAACGCCTTGCATATGAAGGTTAGAATACTCTTAGACGATAAATGTAAGACCGGTATATACTAGTGTATATATATTTCTCATATATATATACGATTTCTCATATATATATATATATATATATATATATATATATATATATATATATATATATACGATTTCTCATATATATATATATGATATGCAGTCTAATTCCATTGATACTACAATGTATAATTATGTATAATGTACAATTCTCACACCTATACATTTACAATGTATAGGTTAAAATTCTCGATATAACCTATCGAATTGAAGCGAAGTCTCAATCTGCCGCGTTCTTCACAGATTCGTTTTCAATGTTTCGTGAACATTCCAGTTCACTCTCCCAAAGCGAAGAGCGATTTGAAAGTAATATTTACCAATATTACCGCGGCAGCGAAAGTGTAGGCATAATTTTCCGGGCTAAAACATTTCTACGCGCATTTCTTAGTTTTAACATCTAATTCGAATGGTATTAGCCAAATTTGCGGTCATTCAATCCTCATCTAATTGTCTTAACTCCTAAACATCTAGATAAATATTATAATACCATAACTATTTATCGCTTCTTTACAACATACCTCAATCCAGTCAAAATCAGGAGCACATTTCTGACTTGTAAAGAATACGTTTGCTGAACGCAGGAACTGAGCCTGACAGGGGTCTGTCTTTTGTGTTATTAATTGTGTCAATATCTTTGAATATCTTCCAAGAAGTTGTGTCAATATTTTACGGACGTTTTACTCGCCTTGTAAGGGATTCTAAAAACAAATCAAGGGACTACTCATTAATCTTCTCGCGTCCTGTGACCGAAAAGCAAGGGATCGGAAATGACCAAGTCCTCTTAAATAACGAGTAAATGAGTCCTCCTAAGTCTTCTTAATTTCCCATACTACAAATTCGCATACTACTAAAATGTCTAAAAAAATATATAAACTATATTGATAAACTTTATGGAACTATATCGACTTATGTCAAGATATGCTACGATTAATAATTGCACATTATTATTACTCTCCTAATTTTCTTTTGTATCTTTTATCTCGCATTCAGTCTTTATCATTGATTATCGGAACACCGCTGCGTAATATTCAAGCGAGAACAGTACTTTCTACTCGCCGGCCACCTCGTCATTCCAGTTTCTCGCTTCTCCTCCAACCCGCTGCACTCGTCGTTTTCCATGTCCGAGTTCGCTCGCGTCTCAGGGATTTCTTCCGGTTACGATCTCCTCGCCGTCTTCGTCCACCGGCACGGTGGAATGGTTGTAGAGTCCCTGCGCCATCAGCTGAAGCGCCAGCGGATTCTTCTGGCCGCTCGCCTTCTTGATTTTCGCTCGTTTATTCTGAAACCAGATTTTGATCTGCGCCTCGTTCAGGCCCAGATCCTCCGAGAGCTGCTGCCGCCTCCTCTCCGTCAGATATCGATTCTCCGCGAATTCGCGCTTGAGACGCGCCAGTTGTTCGGCGCTGAAGGCCGTCCTCGGCCGCTTCTCTTCCGGCGTGCTGCTCTTAGTGCTTTGCGAACGCTTCACTCGCCTCGTGCGTGGCCCTAGAAATAAACCCAAAGGACTACTCATTAATGGTCTCTTCTCTGTGACGGCAAAACAGGACAAAAGATCGAAAATATGTTGGACTTATGCTGGTAAGAAAAAGTTCATATGTCGTCCTGTGATTCAGCGATTTTCTAATGACGCGAGCGAGTCATGGAGGAAGGACACTTCTCGGAATAACTATATCTGACTAGCTACTTTGGAATTTACCGAAGACGGAAATAGTTCGATTAACCACGGAAGATCGTCGTACTTGAGATTCTATCTGCGCTCTCGCACTCGCGCGGACTGTATTTCAATTTCGCGCGATCTGCGTTCTCTTTCTCCCTCTCTCTCTCTCTCTCTCTCTCTCTCTCTCTCTCTCTCTCTCTTTCTCTCTCTCTTGACGTTAATTTATATTCTCAACATCGTTCCCAACACGACAATCATAAAAGCAAAACAGTTATATTACGCGAATAATCGTGATGGGTTTTTATTGTTAAAAAGAAAGAAGAAAGAGTCTCGAAGATCGAGTCTCGAGACTGCGCTCCTCTTATTTGTCGCGACAACGATCGGAACTTCGCGTGGCACGCCTTTTAAAGGCCGTAAACGAGCAGGCCGATCACCTTGTATCGCGTGTGTCATCGAAAAGTAACGTTCATCGGCAAGTTTCGAGCATTAGCATTACGTGTTTTCGATTTTTTACTTAACTATATAGATAACGCGACCATCTAGCCGGCGTACACATCCGCGTGCTTTCGCTCGCGCTGCAGTTATCGTCGATTTTATTACTATTATCTCCGAGGAAAACCGTTAAGCGGCCGTTCCAGCCGTTTGTAACTCGGGATATATCTTTATGACGCCGTAATTATTATATCGATAGTATGTAAAGTACACATAATTACCTTCATTATTATTGCTACTAAAAAGAACTCGCGTAATCCGACTCCGGAGAAAGGAGAGGGTGTACAAAAAGAAGAGGCTCTCGCCGATCATTTCCAGGCAGGCAGCGATCGTCAGTGTTACTGCCAATGTTATTATCGCTTTAAAAACACGCTAAACATTGACTTCGGCACCGCGAGAAATTGCAACCGCGGTCTTGTTGCCGCAACGATCGCCCGAGCCTCAATTACAAATAACGAGTGCCGGCGCGCTCGGCTATTGAACGACCGCTAATTCCTGGCCTATCGATTTTCACTCTGCAATCTCTTTTTTATTAATACACTGTTACACGACACGGGATCTGTGATTTCGTGCTGCGCGAAAATCGATGCGAAGCGAACCTCCGTGCTCGCGTATGCCTCGCCCGAAAAGAAATCTACTGTCTCGTTGAATCTACATTCGCTGATCAACGTTTATCGCGGTGGAGCTAAATAAACGATTGTTGAAGAGACGTTTATCGGCTCGAGACGCGTTTAGACGGAAAAATCGAACCAACTCGATAGAGACAAGCGAGAACAGGCGGAAGAAGCGATAATGAGGACGAGGAGGAGGAGGAGGAGGGAAAGAAGTATACGTCCGTATGTAGGACACTGATTGTAGAGGGTAGTTCGCGAATGTAGGTTCTGCACAATTAAGCTCTGCGAACTGGTGCAGGTGGCATCGGGCCGTACGTTAACCTCGTCTAGCTAGTTCTCTGTCTCTCACTCACTCTCACTCTCTCTCTCTCAAATCGGATATAACGTATGCGGCTCGCGCGATCCTTCAGCGCGACGTTCCCGCATCTTCTGCGCGACGGAGCGTAATAACTTACCGCGTTAATATCGAGCGAGATGGGTGCATTAGGCGTACACACGTCTCGGCCATCGTATCGTTTATCTTATGGAGAGCGAACGATTATGTGTCTCTAATGAGAAAACGCGTAATTAGACACTCTCAAGGCGGAGATCGCTGTCATTTGTCGACGAAGCCGGCAAATCGCGATTTGTCCGCGACGTTGGCGCGGAGTCGGACCTGAGTAATTAATCACTGAAATAAGTTTATCGAACATGCACCAATGCGAGGACAGTGATATCAATTGTGGATATCTCGTGCACTACTCAGATATCCAAGTCTTTCGGGTACTGACCGTCTACTGAAGTACTCAGATCCACGAGTTTTATCCGGATATTTAAGTCGAGTCCAGGTGATTTCTATACATTTCTAAGTAGATATATGGGTGATATCGGGAGATGTACACCCAAATGAATACTATTCAAATATCTAAATATTCACACGGAGAAGAAAAGTGTTTGGTAGTACATTGTGTGAGAGAAAAAAAAATATCTAAAAAATTTTAAAAATATTTATTTGATGGGTAACATCAAATAAATAATTTTAAAATTTTTTATATATTTTTTTTCTTTTGAATAGTATTCGTTTGGGTGTACATCTCCCGATATCATCCATATATCTAAATAACATATTTACTTGTGCTAGCATATATATTTTACATTGAGAAAAAATTTCTTTCAAATGAGAAAATATGTATTTTTCTAAAATACCACCGTTGCCTTTCATGAAAGCAATTGTTTATTCTATTTGAACTGTTCTATTTAAACCAAAGAATTTATATTTAAAGAAATGTTATCAGTACCCACTAGAGTTTCTGATTTCCCGACCTTTTTAATTTCTCGGGACTCGAGAATTCCCGTGTGTCTGTTCCCAGGAATTCCCGGGAAATCGAGAATATAAAAAAATCTGTGAAAAACACGATAACGATTTGTGAAACATGAAATTCAAAGAAAGTAATAAATTAAAATACATATTAATTGTTTAAACGTATTTTTGACATCGTAGTTGGACGGGCGGTTCTCTCTAGTGTCTCGAATATTACAATTATAAACATGCAAACATGAATAAGCTATCTAGAAAGAATTAATTAGAAGGATATAAAACAGAAGAAACAATTAGTGATTCGGAGGATTCTGAGTATATGAGACATTAATATAATTTTAATGCATTGTACCAATGCAGTTAAAATAAAAATATTATGATTTTATTTTTAATATATTCACATATGTATAATAAGTTTAATATGTTTCTTAAACATATTAAATATAGAAATGGTAAAGAGAAAAAAAAGGGGAAAAGAAGAAATAGTGACATAATAAAATTATTTCCTTTAATTATTATGTTTCTTTTAATAATTGAATTGGTAATTTATTAATTATTACTCAATTATTATATATATATATATATATATATATATATATATATATATATATGTGCTTAAATATATTTCGGTCGAAATGACCGGTACGCGCCCCCTAAGTTGGTCCCGTTAACGATTCCACTCCCGGATTAAACGAACACCGACCAACATAAGCATAAGCATCACTTGTCCTAGTTTAATATTTGATAAACAACAAAGATAAAGTGATACTTAAAACACTAAGCACCAAAGCGAATGTAGTCATTGTTTGCGCGTTAATTATCTATTTATTATGTTTTTTCAAAAATTTCTCGATTCCTCGACTGATTTTTCCCCAGGATTAAATTTGACAAATTTCCCGGGAAATCGAGATCGAGAATTCCCGGGTCAAAAACTCTAGTACCCACACGAACACTGAAATATTTTTCTTCTCAATGTATTTGTCACTATAATCACGTATATTGAGACAAAAATTTGAAAATTTATTTGTGCGAGATATAAAGTTTATTCACAGAGAAATAAACCTTATTTCATAGAAGTAAACTTTATGTCCCACAAATAAATTTTTAATCATTTTTCGTCAATATAAAAGAATTATAATCAGATGTGAATCATTCTTGTAATAAATTTCATTATAGCGTTAGTGATAATAACCTTACATATTGCTACTACTTCATTTTTAAATTAATAATGAAGAGACAAAACAAAACAAAAGAACAATTGTAGGCAAGTAAGAGCTGAATAAGCTACATAGAAGAACCTTGTAAGTGTAAATAGTACAAGTTATAAGTGTAAATGGAGTACAATCTTATAAGTCTAAATCTACTTATAAGGTTACACTGGATCAACAATTTAGCATGAAAAAATTACAATTTATTTCACCAGTTCGCTTCAAATTCAGCTCTCAAGAAATTTATATCGCTCCGACATTGGCTCTTATTTGCCTATAATTTTCATGACTTTTGATTGTACTTGTTTCTTATTAGAACAACAAAAAGATATAGTTGGCGTCGAAAATAACAATAATTTGGGTGAAATGAACTATTCTTTTCCCGTCAATACACATACTCAGGCACTCGAGCTCGCAAGCATAACCCGTCTACTCATTCGTTACGTGTATTCGTATCGTTAGCTCGTCTCCGTTTCGTCTTGTCTCGTCTCGTTTCGTCTCGCCTCGTCTGTCGGAGCGAATAGAGTCGCTAAACCGCGAAAGTACGATTCGCAGGGTGAGATTACGTGATTACGCGCGCGAAAAGCGGCGATTACCTTGGTAAGCTCCTTAATCGCACAAAGACTCGCCCTCAGTCCGCGTGACCTCCGGCTACGAAAGCCGGCGATAAGCCCACGAAGCGGGAGCCACGTGTTTCGCTCTTGCCGAGGGATTTCGCTTATCTTCGTGGCCGCGCAATTTTTCAGACGCTCTGATGGGGATTTTAATTAACGGCCAATCGTGATTTTGTAAGTACGTACGGTGCGCATAGAGGCGAGCAAAACATCTTGATAGGCATTTCCGACGTCTCGCGACCACGCGAGTTCTTCTTGCATGCGGCTGAAACGCAAGTCACGTGCTGCGCGCACGAAAAATCTGAATTGAATTTCTGAGCTTTTTCGCTCCCCTCCCCCCCCTCCCCTCGCCCCGGACGTCACTTTGTCGGACGTGTGTCGGTGCGATAGAATAGCGCGCGAGACGGATATCAACATGTTAGAAAAATCGTGGCCAGCTCTCCGTCGAACTCTCCTAACGGTACGAAAACGTCCGAGTTGTGAGGAAGCTCAGATAAAAGAACGAAACAGCGAACTGACAGTACCAACGACAAAGGTAGACGTTGTTTTTCGCCGTTCAAGCCAACGTTACACTCGCACATTCGCGGTACATTTACGCGTTAGTTTCCTACGGAATAATTCACCTTACGAGCGCGAAGACGCGTAGAGAAGTCTGCGTTTACTTACCGGAAGACGGCCTGTCCGAATATCTGGTGCAGTACACCCACGCGGGCCATAGACTCTGCCCGTTGGTCGCATTTTGACTTTTCGCTGAAACACCGCCGTTGCTACTACTGGACTGTGCGGTCTCTCCGTTTAAAGACTCGCCGCTGATAGTGGACGATGCGGAGCATAGGGAAGATGGTCTGGTAACTGAACCGCTGGTAGCCGAACTCCTGCTAGATGCCAGACTTTCTACACTGCCGCTCCTGCTGAGCCGTCCGGCTGAATTATGCCTTTGCAAAGGCGACGTCAATCCGCAATGGGACGAAAAAGCGTCCCTACTGTCTCGGATTGCGTAATTCGTTGCGTTTGACAAGTTCGGTGACAGTCGTGTAGACGGTAGGCTTAAATCCCGCGGAAGTGAAAGCAAACTACTGGAGCTCTGTTCATTGGGTGCTCCCGTCGTGTGTCCGTTTGTAAATTTTGCGGTCGTTTGTTTCGGTGTTTTTGAGCTGAGAATGGCTTTGAGGCCAAACTCAGGACTAAGAATATTAGCAACGCTGAACCGTAACGGCGTGTCAGTGTCGGGCTGGTCGCCGTCGTCCGATGGCTGATTCTCCTCTTGCAGTAATATGCGATTACCGGACGTACGAGCAGAATGGTAGATATGAGGATTATAAGCATATTGGCCACCCATCTTGTACGGAAAATTGCGTATGATTATCATGGGCGACACAGTAATGCTCATTCCACATTCAAATATTCCCTCCGTCCTGTAAAACTGTCTCGTGTCTCGCACTAGACCGATAATGTTAGTTCGATAACGATGCACTAATTCTTCGTGTTTATTCGCGTGGGAAAGAGACGGGGAAACAACACATCGCCGGTTTCATTGTCCACTTCTGTCACGCAAACTTCTATTCCGCGTGTAGACCGTTTCGCGATAGGTCACAACGAGACGCGATTCTCCGCTTTAGGTATCTCTACGGAGCCGTAGTCGAAGTAAACACTATGTACCACGTGCCACCAATGTCCTAAGGAGCACGTCGTCTCTATGCTACATTCCTCAAGGCTTACCGCGAGTCACTGTGCAAGAGAACGTTCTTTTCTTCCGGTGCTTCGCCGTCTTCCCTATTGGCTTCATCGGGTCCACTTGCACGTACCAGTACCGTACTGTACGTATCGCAAAAAAGTGAGCTCCCGCGAGCGTACCCGCGACGCGGTATGAGAGCAGCGTGTTAATTATCGGCTCGTCTTTGGAGCCGGTCCAAACCGAAGAGCTTTTCCCGAGGTTTCTGAGTACTCTGGCGAGTGCTGTGACGGGTCTGACTGGCTGTCCATCCGTCGCTCAGTGATGTCTAAACTAGGGGACCCAGGGTCCCTACTTACCGCCTGTCCCTCCTCACTTCCCCCTTGTCTCTTCTCTCCTCCTACGCCGCAGTCCGGAGTGCAGTGCACTAGACACCCTCGATTGTATCTCTATTAACTCTTCGGTCAAAAGCTCCGCCCATTCGCGTAAGGTGTGCTCCCTCTCCCAGTCGATCCCCACCGCCAGTGGTACCGGTAGTAGGGGACTGGCGAATTTGCCGCGGATCAATGTTCCGCTGGTTCCCTCTTGTGCTCCAGGTAGCGCGTTTTTCGAAAGTCGCGGTTTTCCGGCTCTGTAGACCAAAATCGACCGACTAGGGACCGGTCGGTTAATAGGCCATAGATTTAGTTTCGCTTCTTTAAGGGGTTTGACTGTGAAACAAGGTTGAATGTTACCAAGGACAAAGTCACTAAGAAACTGCCTAAACCATTTAAGTAATCCGCAATCTGGTTTGCCCTACCTAAACATAATACAAGTATCCGTATTGGAAACATGTGGAAGAAAAGGTTCCTTATTTGTAGTATTGATGTGGCGGCAACATCATAAAAGAGGTCTCCCTAATCCCATAGAGTCTCTGATTGTCTGTTATTCAATCAGACCAAAGCACACTAATAAGGTAAACAAACTTTATCCATATATCAAAAGATGAAGACCACCATACACACTCAGTATAGGATTTTATTTAAAGATCTATTGCCTATTGTTTCATAATGGGCACATCAAGAATATATGGATATCCGCGCCACTGCGAGCACAATAACGAGGATATCCACTTCTCTCCGCCCCATTTGAGTTTCTCCCACCACATGCAAAGCCTTCAGGTCTTGGCCACCCCTTTTCATCCTTGTCCCTCCTCTATGACACGCCTACTTTGATACATCCCTTCTACCCACTACTCCATACTTTTGTTCCTCCCCACCGTATAGTGTTGTCGATCCGATCATGCTGAAACTGGCTAATTCGTTTCTTCGGGCCGACGAGCTTACTCTCTCCCCGTCTCTCTTTCTCACTGATCCTCCTCTACCGATCCTTCGCCCTACCACCCTGTCCTCGAGTGCGACGTGGATTTTATCGTCGCGCGTCGGAATCGCTTCATACAAAAATTTGCACGAACACCATCAGCCATGACCCTCTCTTATTCTCCCTTTTTTCGGGCCCGACGGCTTCGCGACGGTTAACGAACAAATGTATTATCCACCCCACTGCAGATGCTGCTCTGCCTCTCTCTCTCTCTTTCTTTGTTCCACCTCCAGCAACCTCTCCCGTTGGTCTCGCTCTATGCATTGTCTACGTACGCCGTATATCTGCTTTTTCTCACTTCCACATCCATATTTCAGCGTAACTCATTTCTAGATCGCTCAATCGTATCGATATTTCACACACAGCTAGAAAGTTAAAGGGGCAGCATGGTCCAATCCCTTTTGTCGGACTTACCTCACGCGTGACTTGGCAATCCGGCTACCGTGTAATGTACTTTGTACACGCGGCTATGTGCTTTGATGTTTGGGTTATTGTTGCGAAAAGATCACCTATGGACCACAACAATACTTAGTGCTTTTTTGGAAGATCGATAGTTGTGGCGATTCTATTCTATTTTCCTTTACTTTGGTGGCAACCGTCTAGCGCTAGGTCGATTTCGTACTTTCTTTGAACGACGCTTTCGGAGTTCGCCAGCGGAATCATCACGTGTATCACCGATGACGACACGCCCGCTTGTTAATCGACGGAACGAAATTGCGGCTATTAACTCTTTAACGTCTAATCGCGCGGAGGAATGCTCCCGCTGCGTCGGAGTGCTGTTCCTCGATCTCGACGCGCGAGGCGGCGCGAGACCGCGCATTAGAAGCACGCGAGACGCATAAGGAGTCGTCGTTAAAAGCGCTCGCAATTAAAGCCAGTAACGAAATCCGCCCAGCCGACGACGTAGGTCGCACGCAATAAGTCAGGTGTTTCGCGCGGTAATTGACGGGGACAACTCGAGCCGCCGTTCACGCCTAAAGAAATACGCCTCCGGTTCTGTTACACGACCAACGAAAGCAAAACAAATCATGTACGACCATCTCAGAGAATTGTGATAACGTTCGGCCTAACTCTGACCTAATCGCGAACGGACAATCTGGATTTTAACTTTGGAATGAACATTTGTATGTGAATACTTCAATTCACTCCAATCGATTGAGATATTCGCTTATATGGAATCAGAATACATTCTACTTTCTTAAAGTGAAACATCATTGAAAGCAGTAAATATACACTGATTTACAGCTATAAGTACAGCACTGAAACTGCTCAGTGCTATACTTATAACTGATATCGGTGACTATTCACTGATTCACTTTAAGAAAGATTCACTTTAAGCTCGAGTGAGACGCTTCACTCTTGCGACTTCGAGCGGCAGTATTTTCACTTATTATTTCGAGTGAAAATACTGCTACTTTCTCCTCGTTTTGATTCCACTCCAAAAAATTTAAGAAATAGATGTTTCTATATTTTTTATCTTCTGTCAGATCTTTAGTGGCTCTTCTTTTTGTAAAAGTCATACACGCATTTTAGAGTTAATAAAGTTTCGCGTACACCCAATTAATTAGGAAAGAGCTTGAAGGTAAATTAAGAAATATTTAATTATCCACTATCAAAGAATCTGAAGAGGTCGGAGGGAAATAAGGAATTTTAGTCGAGTTGTTTCGCCGAGCGCGAATTAATATGTTCATTAACGTCGTTTGATGAAATAATAGACAACGAGCGCGCATTGCATCCGAATGAACCTCCAGACGTAGGTTATCGCGCACTCGACACAAATCAACATTTTTATCGGATCGCCATCGGTCGGCCGAGCGAGCTTCGCCTAACGGAGAACGTCGTAAATTACGGGAACCTCGTCCGCTTTCTTTCTTTTTTACACTAATTATTGTCCGTATCGATGGTCTTCGTACCTCGAATAATATCAGCGCGATTTACCAGCTACTGGCACGGCCGGTGCTAACGAAGTCGTTTATACCTTCCTCCCATTAACATACCGCTCGTCTTATTTAATTACCGCCGGCGTTGCTGATCGTCCGATAGTTTTGCAATAATTAAGCCGCTCAACGGCCCAGCAACGTAACATAGCAGCTGACGACAACGACGACGGTGATGATCGAGTCGTTATTACGGCGCGCTCTTGAAAACTCAAACGGAATCACAGATACCTAGTACTCTGAGCGATAGTTTCACTCTGAGTGAAACGTGAAAAGTCCGACTGTGAGTCTCTCCATGCTCATTATCGCCCACGGGTCATATATAGTCATATACAGGATGTCTGACGTGTGCAGGTAAAGCACGTCAACCAAAGCGGAGGATACTTTATCATTTTTTGAACAATCACGTAAAATCTCGAGCGATTAATGAAAGAAAATTGGCAAATTAGTGCGCGTAACGCACTATTCTTTAGTGATATGTTTGCGATGCGAATTGAAAATCAATTGGCCGTACTGCAATCTAATCTGAATAATCTAATCTGTGAAGTTGATTTTTGAGTTTTAGTTTTTTTTAACCACCGAGTAGTCCATATGTCTATCTACGTAAACAATCCAAACCTAGATGGGTGCCTAAAATTAACTAAAGAGGTTTTTATTTCCTACTGGTTTTGTTATTTTTTACTAGTTACATTTCTATTACACATTTTTTAAGGATTAAGCTTGTCAGTGAATACCCTTAAACAGAAAAACAGTGACTATGCTCGACTTCTTCAACTTCAGTGCTATCTATATTTTTTAGATTATGTATAAAATTTTCATCTTAATTTTTCTCAAAGATACTTCATGTAGGTTGGACTATTCTTGCATAAATACAATCAGTTGTCTATACTCACATCATTACTCTGCCTTCAGATGTCAGTAGATTTCCCCGTCGCTTGCACGAAAAGAATATTAACTTCTTTTTTTTCATCTAAATTCTTTTCAATTTTACTATGTTTTTAGTAGACCACAAAGGTAGACTGTCAGTAAAGTCTATCCTGCCGAGAAATATGGTAAATTTCACTAGAAACATTGCAAGTGTTTTAATAGTACATTTTAATTCCTGGAATATAAGCAACATATATGAAATAAAAGAAATTATTCCAAAAAGTCGATCTATAGAGACTTACTATAAAATTCACTCCGTGTAAAGGCAGTCGTTCTTGAACCATTCTTGATGAACTCATAGAGATCCTTCCATAACGTCGTACGTACTGATTCACCAATCAGCTTTCATCAATTACCGGAAATTTTGCGTGGTTCTCTGAAAATTGGTAAGATATTTTTTATTCAGAGGTTGACGTAGTCTACATGTACACGTGCATTGGGATGTCTCGTGTCAGACACTTTGTATACCTCGAAGTATACTTTTTACACTTACCTCAAATTGACGTCTTCGGGTCGCCACAACATGCAGACGATAATGCTGGCGAATTGCGTCCATCGACTCGCCGTTTTTGTTCACTTTATGAAGCAGCAACCCAGTTCCGAGGACAGGAACGCGTCTTCGCACACTTCGCCTTTCGAAATCCGCTTCGTTAAGGCGAAAAGACGGGAAACAGGTATCTTTTTGCTTTATAACTTCGTCAGCGACTGTCGTTGCTCGATCTCTGCCAGCGGTTCAATTCAACTGAGACGGCGATCCACTTTATTTTCTCTGCTCGTCACCACCGCTATCTTCGTGAATTCCGCGTGGAGAAATGTATAAGATCACTGTTACGGTCGGCGATCTTATTAATGACCACCACAAGCATGCTTCCATCACTAGCACCACTAGTTACCACATGAGCCACGCGGAACTGGGTTGCTGCTTCACAAAGTGAACAAGAACGGCGAGTCGATGGACGCAATTCACCAGCATTATCGTCTGCATGTTGTGGCGACCCGAAGACGTCAATTTGAGGTAAGTGTAAAAAGTATACTTCGAGGTATACAAAGTGTCTGACACGAGCGATCATTAGCCACAAGGTCACTTCGTGCGAGGACAATAATAGAGATAGCGGCCATAAATAACTGTAACGTGTCCATCTGTCAATAGCGTTTATCTGAGCGCTCGCGAAGCATCGTTCCATGGGAATAGTCTGGGATAGAGTATGAAATCGATTGTCCGAGCTGGCCCGCATTGCAGCCGGAGAGACGGCTCCTCCGTCACCTTTAAAGAGACATTCGTCGCTCTGTTATTCGATAAAGGGAACGCTCTCGATGGGGCGAGACGAGTTGCCAAAGCGTGTGAGAAAGAAGAGAACATGTTGCGATATTCATTACGCGACTCATAGCACGACTTGTGTGAGAGCTCTAGGCTTTTATTAGGCGACGTGTTTTCAGTAAACAGCCATCACAGGCGGTATATAAATTGCAAGCGTGACTACCAGAGGGTATCCCTTAATCATCGTCAGACCATACCACGCGTCGCTCCGTCGCAAATTACAATTCGCGAGACTATCGGACGCGTTGTCGGCGGGTCATTACAAACACTCCTATTTGGGGTTGGACGATCGGCTCGTTATACACATCGAGACCGGGGCAAATCACCGAAATGCAAGCCACCTTGTTCCCCCTCGTTAGAAGGCGCACGGGGTCTTTGAGGAAGAAAGAGAGAGAGAGAAAGAGAAAACGCCGACGGCGAGACCAATCGCCGCTCTGGGACGTCAAGGATTGATTGGGTTTTTCGTCTCGCGAGTCGTCCACCCCGCGCGCCACCTCGTGTCTCTCTAGCCCTCGCGGTGCCTGCACCCTAAAGCGAGCAACGAGACGCGCGGAGCTAGCGCGCACCGGCGATCATTATTCCCCGAGCGCGATTTGTAAACGGGTTCTATTTATGGCACTGCAAACTCTATAATCAGCCGCCGCAGGGGCGACGACTTATTTAGAATAATTAATGCGGGTACGACCTCGTGAACCGGTCCGCCGCCAATCGTCACCACGGCTGCCCCACTATCCTCTCAGCAGAGGGGAAATTGTAGGCGTAGTCGGACGAAAGTCCGCCCACAGTTGAATCTCGCATGCAACCTCGCGTGCAGGTAGAAACTCGGTGGGACTCTCTCTCTCTCTCTCTCTCCCCC